ACTGTGTTAATTGGGACCGTTGCTGGCAGGCTCTCCGCTGAAAGGATTAAACTGGCTCCTCACCTTGCTCTGCCCCTTCCCCCCAGCAAAGGATGTTTCATCCCATCAGGATGCAGGCAGGGAGGCAGCTCGGGTGAGGAGGCAGCAGGTCTACCCTCCAGGTGTTATGTCTACTGGGAACAAAATTGGGTCTGTGTGAGCCCAAATCCATCACTGTAGGAGCTGTCCTACCTTTTTTTTTGTTACTTTATTGCTTATGCAAAGCCGCAACAGTTTGGTAAAAGAGTCTAATAAGATTCACATCCCAATCAGCAGAGATTTTTGGCAGCCCTCCCCCAGCATTTGTGGAAAGATGGAAATATTGCAGCGATCACCAGGTCATATTCCAAGCAGGCTGAGTGACATCACTGCGTGTTTGGCAGCTTTGCACATTACAGTGGGGTATAGGAGTTGGAGCATGGATAACTTCTCTTGCCCCACAAATCTCTCCACGTGCTCTAATTTTGTAACACCAATTCCCATTAAAGTTGCTGCTATTTATCTGGCTCTGTGGCTCACTTACTTAGGTTTGTTAATGCTACATGTTCAACAAAAGCATTAATTCGAAGGTTGTAGCAACATCCTTTCCAAAAACCACTTTGACCTGTGATGTGTTGCATTATCCCATGAAAGACTCACAGAAGGAAGTAATCAAAACGTGTAGCACCTAGTGCTAATTGCCTTTTCTTCACAGTTTCTGTCTCATTCTTCTTGTGTCCAATAAATATTGATTTTTCAGAGATTTAAATCTGTATTTCGACACAGATTGGGTCATTTGATGTGAATGACATGGCTCTCTATGTCTTAGCTCCAAATACCCCTCCAACCCTGTGTCAAGCACTTCAGATTCCAAGCATGTGCCTTTGACATCCTTGAAATGCCTGGTCTTAGCAAGAGTGCCTGGAAGGTCAGCGAGAGGACATTGTCTGAGGAGGTCTCTGGCCTTGGTATTTAAAAGCTGATTCATGAAAATGTTGAAGAACATCCCGTGTGGAGCGGTTCTCCTCCGGGAGTGATTAAGATGATTAAGCATAAAGGATAAAATTTTCATATGCTCTGTGATTTTGTTTGTTTGTTTGTTTGTTTGCCTGTGATCTTGGATGGCCAATGTGGGAGGCTCTAAAGGAGCCTGATTTCCAGAGGACAGACACAGAACTATTCTGAAAATAAGGACACCTTAAGGCTGCCGGTCCAGAATCAGTCACTGCATTTGGAAAATCTTGATCATAGCTCCCTGAAAGCGCAGTAGAGAAATGCAGTCAAAAAGTTTGTGTGTTTGAAATCTGCTTTGGTTGTAGGAATCTATATATTGTCAGGAAAGGACAGACTGAACACAGATTAGTCCCAACACAGACCGAAGCCACAGTTATCATCATACAGGTTGCACAGTCTCGTAGGTTTTTTTAAGGGTAGAAGAGATGGTCCATTTCCCAACCAGCTCCAGGAATCCCTGGCTTTCCCCATCCTGACTCTAGGATCTCCTCCGGTCCTCCCAGGGCAGAGAACTCCAAGGCCTTTTCTGTTTTGTGGCAGGAAACCTCCTAGCTTTTCCTGAAGCAACAGGTTATCTCCAAGGTTCAGACAACTCGCCCTGTTTGGCACAAGTGGGTGTTTTACTTTGTTTTTCTAGTGCCGGAATTTTTCACAAAATGGAAGTTCTGGGTTTCAGCCAGCTCCATTGCTTGGGAATTGATGGAGTTTCTTGAATACCTCCTGCGGGGGATTTTTCATTTTGACTGTGAGAAACTTCTGCCCTAGCTCTGAAGTATCTGGCACTGCGTTTCCAGCCAGCCGTCCCTCTGTCTTTGCTAGGTTAGAAAACTGCTTAGTGCTTCTTTCCCCTGGAGGTACTTAACACACTGCATACTTACAGCCTTTATTTAAATATGGGTGTTTCCAAATATTTGGGTCTGAGGCATAGTAACAAAAACATTGTGCCAAAGTTGAACTGCTCTGAGCAGTCTTGCCCTGATAGTATCTCGCGGCAGCGGAGAAGGAAATATTTACCTAAAGATGGCACTGATCAAAATAGCATTGGCTATAATTAGTCTGTATTATTGTTGTTTAATAGAGGAACTGGAGTGCTCCCGTGAATGAACTGGGCTTGGGTTTGCTCTGCTCTCGTGCTCAGGCTGGCAGCGTGTGGGTCGGCGCTGTGCCCATCTGTGCATGGGCAAGGGGTAACCAATATTCCAGAGCCCATCTTTGCGTGCTGGATCCCAGGACGCCTCCGGAAAGGGCCACCTCAGTGTGGAAAAAAACCCCTGCGTTCCCAATCTGGAAGTCCCCTTGGCTGGACATGTGGCCCAAGGGGGAACCGTGTTGCTCTCTCGGCTGGGAAACAGCCCCTGCTGTTCAGACCGCCGGACGGGCTGGTGCTGGGCCGGTGGTCAAGAGAAATTGCTCAGATTTCATGCTCCAGGGTTGCTCATTTGGCAGCTTTCCTGACAGCTCGAATCCACTTGTGCGCGTACAAATGTACATTCAAGCCAATCGCCCGCTTGGAAAATCTCAGGGGAGCAAAGCATTTACCTCTGAAAAATACTCGGAGAAACTTCTTTGCAATATATAGAGCAGCAGTCATTTGAGAAACCATCTGTCTATATGTATTTAAACAGTCATTACTGCCTTCTAGGTAAATAACATGTTTTTTTAAATGGTCTCTATATACAATAGATGCTAACACAATAAATCCTAATTGCTCTGAAGGACCCATTAGGCTCCATCAGGTCAATAAATGGTGGGGTTTTTGAAAGCTGTCCACAGTGCTGTTATACAAGCTACAGTTTGGAAGCCCATAAATAAGTATTTGCCCAATGACGAGTGAGAGCTTTGCCGGGGCCTACTCATTTATCATGTCAGCGATGCTGTGGGGACTGTTTCCTTTCCAAGGGCCAACGTTAAAAAAGCACAACATGACGTTTCCGAAATGACGCATCTGAAGAGTTGCAGGCAGGGGAAAAGCACATGGAGAGCTCGCCACCTCCAACAAATCCAGCAAGAGGAGCTTCAAACGCAGTGGTTCTGCCTCGCAAGCAGGGCGTTTATGCAGCTGGGGCTTTTCAAGGGGATTTGACCTAAGTGGCCGTGGTGAGAAGCCAATGGCTTTTATGTCACTTGAGCCCCCACGAAGGGGTTCTCCCCGGCGCCACTAAATCTGCAGCATTTAATAGCCGTGCCAGGAAACTCGGAGGGAAGAGAAAGGCCGTGTCATCCTCTTGGGGGGGTCTTGGTGTGGCAGGTTGCAGAGTGGGACCCGCACGTGCAGCCCTGCACGCTCCTGCAGAGATAAATAACCAGCGCACGAGCAGCACCCGTGTTTAATCCTGTGCTGGCTGCTCTGCTACATATTCATAAAAGCGCAGAGGAAACAGAAGCGCAGAGCAAGCCAGCAGATGTCTACCTGCCTCTTAATTGGATTTTACGTGGCCCCAGTGGAGCAAATGCAGCTTTATTTACTGGCAGCCTCCAAGCATTAGCTCTGGCTGGAGGAGCGGTGCAACCTGGGCCAGACTGCGGGGTCTGCACATGAGCTGCCCCGTCCCCTTCTCCTCCTCTGCTCCCTGTCCACCTCCGACCCTGCTCCCTGTCGCGGGTTAACTCAAACTGAGGCCTTGCTGGGGTGGGGTGGATGGACGATGCTTGTATAAAGGCAAAAATCCCATCAGAAACGAGCATTTCTGCTCTTATCAGTGTTTTCTAGCTGTGCACCAGCAGTGATGCTGAACAGGCCGCCCCGTGCTCGCTTGTGGAAGGACTGAAGTTGGGGAGGTGGCGGGAGCTGGGACGGGCCCCTCGCCAGGCACCGGGGTACACGGCCTCACAGCCCCTGCCCCAGTGACTGCGTCCTGTGTGTGTGTGGGGGGGTTATTTCCTTTATCTCCCCCCTCCTTTTCCTTTTTGTCCCTTCCCCCCGGCACCCTTTTCCTCTCTCCTTTTTTTTTTCCTTTATTCATTTTTTTACTTTTTAAATTAAGTCCTCTTTTCCCTTTTCTCCGTTTTGCTCCCCCTCCCCATTTTCTTTTTCCCACCTCTTTTCTTAGCCTTCCCCTTTCCCCTCCTTTTTTTTAATCTTTTCCTTTCTTTTTTCTTTCTCCTTTTTCATTTATCCCTCTTCTTCCTTTTTCACTCTCTTCCTCCTTCTCCTTTTTTCGCTTTTCCCCTCTTTTCCCC